TCATGGGCACGGTGATAGAGGTCTGGAGAACAACACGCCTGACTTTGTCTGTTGCTTCGCCTCCGTCGGAACTGGGCATGTGCGGCCAGGCAGGAGGCGTGGCTATCTCAGACTTAGTCTTATTGGGTACAAGGGACTTCAGGAAACCCAATCAAGTGGATTATCCATCATCATGCTGAGAAATGGCGTTCAGGTAAGAACAACGCCCCTTTCATATGGCAGTCTGAGCACATTGGAAGCTAGTTCCCATTTTGTCCTTATGAAATAATGTCAGCATAACACTATCTTTTAATTTCTAAGATTTCAGGTGTTATGCTGCTTTTGGAAAACCTTCGTGGGAAGAAATAGGGAATTATTTGAAAAAATTACAAACGTATATTTACTGGATGCTATATATATGGATGCTATAATGTGATTGTAATATCAATGCAAGGGTACCACCTTGATTTTTTTAACGTATTATAGGGGAAGGCATTATAGGCCATCTGATTTTTATAGATTAGGATTTTAGTCTTAAGAATTATTCTGCAAATTCCCAGTCAGCTTGACAAAATAAAGTTGTGTTTCTGGGAGAGTTAAGTTGAGGAAAATCAGATTAATAGTTCAGAAATGGCAAGAAATATTGAGTTGTGGCAAAAATGGACATCTATAATATAAAGAAGTAAACGTTTTAAAAAAGAAAGGTTAAGGAATTAGAATACAGTTATTTTTTTATCCATGTAATTTTTATTCTATTCAAGAAAAGTTAAAATACACAACTCCAAAAGAGAGAAAATAAAAAAATAAAAAACCAAAACAGATAAGACATTAAACAAAAAAGATGCATTATAAAAAAAAGCACAAACACATCCTCCCTAGTTGAATACTGATAAGTATATTGCAACAATATGAGTTTTCCACCCCTGCTAAACAGGCCCCCCAAATTTTTAAACTTCTATTTGCAAATTATTAACCTGTCATCTATCTACCATATTAATGAAAAAATAGTTAACAGATAGAGCAACAAAAAAAGGCAAGAGTAAAATTTCAAAACCTTTGTTAACAAACTATTACTATATTCAACTCAGAAAATTTACCACTGCTTCTTATCTATCCCAAATTAACCCAACAATTAACACTAATTTGTCCTGGATAAAGTATCTATTTTGTTTCTTAATACCATCTCTTAACAATTGTTTGGTTAAAAAAATAAATCCGTTCTCCAAAGTTGATCTATCTTTCCAAAGGAATCCAGATAAAATTGTTTTCTAGGTAAATATGATAAATCCATTCCCCAATCTACTTCAGTCTTCTTAGGGCAAACTAATATATCATTTATCCACCCAGTCAGTTTTCTGCTATTGTAAAAGTTTGTAGGCCTGAATTTTGGGAAGGCATGTGCAATCCACTCAGTTCTAAGTCTGTAAAATCCATATTCTTTTCAGTCTTCACCGAATCTACCATTTTCAAATCAAATCCTTTTGTGAATCTGCTTCATCTACAGTTACAGTTGCAACTGATATTTTTTGCAACCATTATTAAATTGTCAAACTTTTTAAAGAAATTTTCAATTTGAATTTGTATGTTACCAATCTTTTTTCAAATTCCAGCCAGCTTTCCTTGTCTGTAATCTGGTATGTTGTTGCTCTCATGGAAATTAGCAGAGAAAGATAAGAGGAGTCTTCAGAGACAGAGAACATAAAAAGTTGAAGTAATATTACTCAGAGTGAAAATATAAATAGAAAAACAGGATGTTTTTGGAAATTTTGAGCCAAGACTTTAAAAAATAATCTCAAAACTTTTTGCAAGTTAATAAAATGCAGAATTCCTGTAGTGAAAGTCCAATATAAATGTAAATCAAGTCCAAGCACCTTCATTACCCATAAACACCCTGTGATTTCCTTATGGAGACAAGAGTCATTCAGTGTAGCCAAATAAATCAAAGGAAAAAGATAACAATAAAAAACCACAAATAAAATCCAGCAGGGGGTTAAAATAAATCAGCATGCAACCAGTTAACTTTTAACGATAAAAAGCAGAATAAAACAAAAACTTCAAAAAGTATACTTAATCCAGGTTTGCTTACGAGAATGATTTGCTGAAGAAAAGATGGATAGGTGACTGGTGACTTTCTGGCTGCATCCATAGGAACTACAGTTTCAAGATTCCTCTTCCTGGGGGGTGGGGTCCACCGCCATCCAAAAATCATCTTGGGTCATTCCTAAGTCTTCCCATTCATATGCAGGGAACAATGCTGCCAAAGAAGCAACTTTGGCAGCAAAATCAGGAGATTGTCAGCAGTAGAGAAAAATTTCCTTACCGTTCAGCAGCCACTTGGGGGAAGAGTATGCCAGAATGCTGTTATTTCTGATGTAAGCTAACCTGATTTGAAACTTCTGAACTAAAATGTGCGCAGTGATTTTTCTAATTTCTTGTTTCAGCGAATGTTATGATGCAGTTTTCATACTTAAAACAACACCAAAATGCACTAAAATGCAAATTTTAGTATGAAATTTCTTTTAGCTGAAAGGTGGTTATAAATACAGAATGTATTTTGTGAACAAGTGTTTTAAACTGTCTTATCATCTATCTATCTATCTATCTATCTATCTATCTCTATCTGGATTGATTAATGGACAAATAGATTTATGAATTAGCACAAGAAAATTGAGTTCACTATTCATTGTTAAAACTATATTTTTATTTAGTAGTTCTGTAGAATTTATAATGAGAGTTATTTTGGATTATTTTTGCTGAAGCAATAAATGTTAATGTTAAATTTTCCAATGAATTACTAATAATGTGATATTACATAGCCAAGTATGAGAAAAGGACCATGGGAGACCAAGCCAGTGCATAAGATATTTGAAATATATTGGATCTGATCTAGATTTATAATTTATTAATATGAAAAAGATTGGGAACTATTTGAAATTCCTAAGAAAATTTCAGTATAAAGTGATGCAGACAATTCTTCCAAAAGTAATACCCATTACTGTTTTGGAGTGTTCTGTGATCCTAGACATGCTTTTGAGTGGTCACACAGAGTTGTCTTCCTCTAGCAGAAGAATTCCACTGGTGATCTGGATCATTAGTGGTCTCAATGTACAGTTTAGGAAAGAGGAGGACATGTAAGTCATATAAATCCTGAACTAATTTAATCTTATTTTTTCATAGAATTTGGGAAACTATTAATCAGCCTGCAGTTTTTTAACTAGAAAATCATGCTTTGTATTTTAGGTTGATGGAAATAAGCACACCATGAATGAGCATCTACATGTTACCAGTCATGGGCAGGTCCAACAGCTCTTTGAAGATAATAGTAACAAAAGGACAGTTCTATCCACACAACCAAATGGGCTTGCAACAGTAGCAAAATCAGGGCTGCCAGTGGTACAAGATAGACAGCTCGAGAGCTGTCATAGGCGTCAGGGGAGCTCCAACTCCGCGAAATCTACTGAAGGACCAGGAAAGATAAAAGCTACTGTCATGACTCCTGAGCAAGCAACGAAGCAATACGTGCACAAGCTAACAGCCTTTGAGCATCATGAGATCTTCAGTTACCCTGAAATATATTTCTTGGGTCCAAATGCAAAGAAAAGGCAAGGTGTCATTAGTGGTCCAAACAATTGTGGATATGATGATGACCAGGGATCTTATGTGCAAATACCCCATGATCATATAGCATACAGATATGAAGTTCTTAAAGTTATAGGAAAAGGAAGTTTTGGACAAGTGGTAAAGGCATATGATCACAAGATGCATCAACATGTTGCTCTGAAGATGGTGAGAAATGAGAAGCGTTTTCACCGCCAAGCTGCAGAAGAGATTAAAATTCTGGAGCACCTTAAAAAACAGGACAAAGATAATAACATGAATGTTATACACATGCTGGAGAACTTCACATTCCGCAACCATATATGTATGACATTTGAGTTGCTGAGCATGAACCTTTATGAGCTCATTAAGAAAAATAAATTTCAGGGCTTTAGCCTGCCTTTGGTTCGTAAATTTGCCCACTCCATTTTGCAGTGCTTGGATGCTTTGCACAAAAACAGAATAATTCACTGTGACCTTAAACCAGAAAACATTCTGTTAAAACAACAGGGTAGGAGTGGTATTAAAGTGATTGATTTTGGCTCTAGCTGTTACGAGCACCAGCGCGTCTATACATATATCCAGTCACGTTTTTACCGTGCCCCTGAAGTCATCCTTGGTGCTCGATATGGGATGCCAATAGACATGTGGAGCCTGGGCTGCATTCTTGCTGAACTCTTAACAGGATACCCTCTCTTACCAGGAGAAGATGAAGGGGATCAGCTGGCTTGTATGATAGAACTCTTGGGCATGCCTTCCCAGAAACTACTGGATTCATCAAAAAGAGCAAAAAATTTTGTGAGCTCCAAAGGTTACCCCCGATATTGTCCCATTACTACCTTGTCAGATGGTTCTGTTGTGCTTAACGGTGGCCGCTCCAGGCGGGGCAAATTGCGTGGCCCCCCAGAGAGCAGAGAATGGGGGAATGCATTGAAAGGATGTGATGATCCACTCTTCCTTGACTTCTTGAAACAATGTTTAGAGTGGGATCCAATGCTGCGTATGACACCCAGTCAGGCTTTACGGCATCCCTGGCTCAGGAGACGTTTGCCAAAGCCGCCAACTGGGGAGAAGCCATCAGCAAAAAGAATAACAGAAAGCACTGGTGCTATCACATCCATTTCCAAGTTACCTCCAACTTCAAACTCAGCTTCAAAACTGAGGACTAATCTGGCACAGATGACGGATGCCAATGGGAATATTCAGCAGAGAACAGTGTTGCCAAAGCTTGTGAGCTGAGGTTTGAATAATACAATGCTGATTTGAAGAAAGAAAGAGAGTGCACAGTTATGTGACTGAGCCTTATTCACATGAAAAAAGCTCATATTTCTATTTTTATTTGATCAATACCTTTAAACATTTGTATTTTTTCATTGATTACTTTAAATGTGTTAAGCACGGTTTTGATTTTATAAAAACAACATGGGGACAATGCTTTAAGTTTTTACACTTTTTTAAATGAAATGTTTATCTTGTAAACAACAATTAGCCTTATGGAATTAGTATGGCACAACGATGTGTCAGTGGCAGGCCACTGGTTACTATCTAAGCTTGACATTTTTAGCTAGGTGAGGAAAGAAAGAGTAAATTCCTTTTCCTCATCATGGCTTTTCTTTGGAGTGAATTTTAGTACTTCCTTATCACTGCTTTTGTTATATCAGTAGGTTCCATCCCTATAAGCATTTATTCATATTTTCAGACAATGATCTAGAAAATATTCAGGGCTATAATTGAGGTTTTGCATGGCTGTTTGTTGCTCTGTCTGTATTATGGATTATTTACAGAATGCCACATAATAATTGTTAAAATATTCTAATAGAGCATCCACAAATGGCTTACTTTATGCTTATAAATCCCTTAACAATTCTCTATCAAATATCCAGGAAGAAAAATATTGGAATTTGAGGCAAAGTTTCTGAAGAAGCAATATTTACATTTAAAAAATTGAACTTAATTCCACTATTTGTCCAGTGTAAGAGTAAACATTTATAGCATGAAATTGTGCTATTTGGCATATTTATGAACCTCAGAGAACAGTCCTGAATCTGTTCATTTGGAAGTAATTTCCACTCCTTTAATGGAATTTGTAAAAATAATAAAGATGGGATAGAAATATCTAAAAAAAAAAAAATAGAGGTGAAGAGCTTAAATACCTTGAACTGCAATTTGACTGTTTCCCTGAATTAAGTTAGGCTTATTCCTGAATAGGGAAGCAAAGTGTTTGAATCACACTTGGTACCATAGATGAAAGAGAGCAGCCACATGGAGGGGACAAATAAGAGGAATAGGAGGACATTTCTTGCGTCTCTCTGTTTCCAAGAAGGCTTATTGGGAAGAGCTAATAAGCTCTTCTGAAGAAAACAGTGGTGTATTCTAAGTACTGGCAGTAGGAACATATGGATGTTTCAGAATAAATTGTGTGAGAACATAGCAGCCAGTGCGATTCTGGGTAGCCACAAAGACTCAATGTATGTAAAAAAATCAAACTTAGGAAGATATATTATCTATCCCCTAGTCCAGGGGTAGGCAACCTCGGCTCTTTTATGACTCATGGACTTCAACTCCCAGAGTTCCTGAGCTGACTCAGGAACTCTGGGAGTTGAAGTCCATGAGTCATAAAAGAGCCGAGGTTGCCTACCCCTGCCCCAGTCTCTCAAAAAGTTGTCTTTCCTTCTCCTTCCCCTGCATGGATGACCCGATCCCAAATACATATACACATACACACGCACATGCACATATTTAGAAAATATAATTATGTGAGGCACAGAACTTCTGGGCACCAAAGAAGGAATCTGGGCATGTTGATGACTTGTAGGCACCACCCAGCTTGCTCTAGCTGTAGAAGTCTGTCTTGGGTTGGAATGATACATATGTCTGTAGCAGCCTTGTGCTTCTCAAGCTGTTCCCTTTTGGAGGTGTCAGTGGTCATGCAGGCTAAGAATTGTAGCAGCTGTAGGTTGGTGGATCCCGAAAGCTTAGGCTGGGCATAAGTGATTTATCCAAAATTACTATCAATTCTTACATGTACGGATTAATATTACATGAATGCATAAAACCTTGCCTTAATTTCACTCATTCCAACACTGAAAATATTACTTAGGAACAACTTCAATGTTCCCCAAACTTCCCATTAAAAAACAACAACAGGAAAACCAAAAGCAAAACCTCTTGAGCTTTACCTCCTATGCTGCTGAAAAGTAGACCGTACTGGAGAAATAAAGTCAGACAGTTTTTGAATGTGGTTCCAAGCCAACTGCCAGGCTAAACAGCTTGATAGCCAAGTAGTATTGCTGCTCTTCTGGGGTTTTTTTCAGCGTTTTGATCTGCTGATACAAGCAACAAAGCTGCTTTGACAAAAGCTTCCCTTTCCCTCCCACTATATAATAGCAAGCCTCAAAATTAAAGGAAGCAGTTCTTAAAGCTATGAATACTGAGCTGCATCAAATAAAGGACAAGGTTAATCAGTCACTGTAAACTAAAATCTTGTGCTGACATATATCTGTGTTTAATTTTATACTGTTCCATACTTAAAACTGAAATTCAGATATGAAAGGATGGAGAGGCGACTTTGATTTTGCTTCTGAAACAACATAGACCAACTGGATTATTTCTTGCCAAGACTGAACTAACATATCATTTTTTGGCTTTTGTTCATTACATCATCCACCTATAATAATAATTCCGGACTTGGCTTACAACTAAAACAATCCAATTAATATGTTCTGTTCCCAGAATTCATAAATTTTCACCGTGAAAACAAAAACCATTTCCCCACAAATCTATTCCAAATAGAAAGTGTGGAAAGGACAGAGAGAACGCTGGTCAAAAACTTAATATGACTTCCATATACAAACTTAAGCAAAGCAGTACAGTTGGTGCTGGACTTTAAAAATGCAAAAGCATGACATTCATTTTGTTCTTTCTTACTTTCTCCCTACCATCTTCAACTGAAACTATTCTGTGGTCTTTATTTTGGGAATATTATCAGGAGTAAAGCTGTATCCTCCAGACATATGTACAAAATTCAATACTTCCCTCAAATGTGTGCAGTGGTATTTAAATATCCATGTACATAGTATCATTATTACTTCAACGTTTCAAGTGTTATGGTCCTGGAAATACCAATTCCATCTCATTGTTTCCTGTAAAATTGTATTCTGTAGCCGTGTCATCAGCACCTGGACTTATTAATTACATAATGAAGATGATACATGAGACATTCTATTAATGAAAATGCCTCTGTTTTCTTCAAATTATTCCTTCAGTCTTTTCAAAGTTTCTAACTGCTGAGTGGTTAAACAAGATTTTATGTCTTTATGTTTCTAGAGCAAATGAAGTGAAAGGACCTTAAAAATGAAATGAAAGTACATATCTGATTTACATATTCACTCTATTTAAAAAATCTGCATGGAGAGAAAATCAAAATACAATTTGTAATGTCAAGATGTTCTTTATATTCTATTAATATTAGATTTTATATAGAGCAAGATACAGGTTTTCATGGGCAGGCTGCCGTGGGTTATTTGTAGAACACTAAAGGCCACATTCAAAAAAATGTCTCAGACAAGGAAAATAAATGAATATATTAGAATGTAGTATAAAACTACTTATATTAATTAGATCTACTTCCTCTTTGTTTTTATTAAATCTATTGAATTCAGTGTAAAATACCCAATTTTACAATTAAAGTTTGAACATTAATTCTAAAGTATAGAAATACATTCTTGCTGCATACATTATTTTCATGATGCGCATTTTCATATGTACAGCTACATATGCATCCTGAGCAAAAGGATTTTCTTAGGCTGCCTAGCAAACTATTTATAGATTCTGCTTTCTCATAGTGGAACATTGGAGACTTGCAATTGGAATAATCTCAATAGAAAATTATAAGGGAAATGGGAATCTTAACCTAATCTCTTGCCCAATAATCCAGGAGCCTCATGGAATATGAATTTTACAAGTGGCAGATAAAGCTGAAATTGTCCTTTGTTAGGCTGAAGTAGATTTACTCTGTTTCCAAAGTCAAATAATTAAGACAGAAGTGAGATGGATGAAGACAGGTATGAATGACTAAAAGAAACCATAGCCTTCTCATTTACTCCATCTTCTAATTTTTTTAGTCATTGCCTATTCACTAATGAAAAAATTAAAAACAGGAAAACACCAATAAACAAATAAAAGGAATGGGAGATGAGAAGAAGGGTGGTATGTCAATGATAGTTTGCAGTCACTGACGAGAGTACACCAATGGTCTTTAGAATGTGAAATCCCACAATTTCTGCTGTCCAAGAGCTAGGATGATTTATTACTGGCTCAGCTGTGGTATATGATTAATCACAAAAAGCTGGTCTTTTCACTTGAAGCACAGCAACGCTGCAGAATTTGTGAGTGGTCCATTCTTCTAGTGATAGGAACTCTAGTCCTCTGTCTGCTCCTCTCCCTCCCCAGGTTTTGACAGATGTAACATTTTTCTCAACAATTAAGTGACTACCAGATTGAGATTTCCAGGTTGGGAGGAAAAAATATGATTCAGAAAATATGTCAACTTCTTTTTCAATATAGTTTTTCAAAGGAAACAAATGTTGCTAAAATGGATGTTACCTATAGATTGATAATATTTGAAGAGAATTGTCGATGTTGGCATAATGAAACTTTCATGAGAGTGCTGAAAACTTCAGTAAAACTTATGCTGCACAAACCTTATTATATTAGTTGTAAAAATGTTTAAGTACTTAAAGCATGGTCCCCAGGAAGTCAAAAAGTTTCTAGTCAAATTATTTTCTTTTTATGCAGATTTTTCATTCAAAATAAAGAAACAGAAGCAACATGTTTTACTGAGCTTTTATATTTTGAAAATAAGCATAAATGAAAAATGAAGAATTCTCAGGAAATAAACAAATTTGCCAAAAATATACCCTATTGGGGAAAGGAAAACCTAAAGGAGCCCTTTTCTCACTATTAGTAATTTTGGCTAGAAAAATCTACTTAGTCATCTAATAAACTTCAGTAATCACCTAACATTTGATCTCCCTTTTGTGTAAACGCAGCTTCTGTAATGTGTGTCTATGCAATGTGTGTGTATTAGTAAAAGTGAAATAGGATCATTTATGGTCTATCATAGAATTCACTGCACTCTGTGGCTCTAACAGGAATCTCAACTGACCCATAAAAGCTGAGATTGAGTTCTTGCATTTGTACTTCCCTATTTACTTAAAAGCCAAGGCAGTTCCCAGATGAAAATGTTATACATAGAGAACTGAGTCCTGGAATTAATAAAGAGGATTTCATCAGCACAGGAATACATCTCTGTGTAAGA